CGTTTCGAACGTGTTTTTAAAGTGAAAGTTAACTTCACAATTAACACTTGTTATCTCAATAATAAATACACAATTATTGTAATACATTAAGCTAATTAATAAAATTAACTCAAATTTGGAATACCAATTTTTTATAATTAATTTTAGTCACCAACTTGACAAGTGACAACCAATATGTGGACCTTTTCACTTCAGTATAAAGATATGTCTTGTATCTACATTGTAATGAAAAAAACCACATCTCTTTAGTGTAGTCATGGGAAAAAGAAGAAAACTTAAGCTAGCTTACATATCCAATGATTCGATTAGGAGAACAACACTCAGGCGTAGGGGAGACGGGTTAAAGAAAAAACTCAGTGAGATCAAGACTTTGTGCGGTGTTGATGCATGTGCAGTCATCTACGATCCAGAAAAACCAACTCCAGACGTGTGGCCATCAGAACCAGAGGTGAGCGATGTGATCAAGAGGGTAGATACGGAGACAGCGACGAAAAGGATTATGATGAACCAAAAGGATTTTCTCAACCAATGTATCGAAAAAGCCAAGAAACAAGAACGTAGAATGGTTGAAGATAACAAGGAGATTCGCCTTAAGGAAGCCATGTTCAAGTGTCTTGAAGGAGGGAAGATGGGAGACCCCGACATGAACAATAAAGATCGTCGTGAATTGTGTGAGTTTGTTAATAAGTATCTTAAGAATCTTTATTATCATAGGGATGTAACTCTCAAGAATCCGGATTTTGAAATTGGAGAGTCTTCTTCAAGGCATATGGTGCCATCCTATGTCCCGGTCATGGCACCACCACCTCCTATGGCGGAAGTGAGTTCTTTTCCTCCTTTACATAGTCTTGGAACTCATACATGAATATGATTTGGATTATTTTTGTGAGATATACATGAATCTTGTATATGATTTGGATTATTTTTTGTGAAATATACATGAATCATGTTTGTTTGTTGTGGTTATTTCATGTAATTTAAATCATAGGTTACATGAGTTTTATCATATGCTTTAACTCTCATGAACTAACCAAATATTTGCAGACCAACCAAGGAGCAGCTGATATTGATTTGCAGATAAGTAACAATCAAGAAGTTTACATCCCAGCAGTGAATCAGGTTTGGGTCTTAATTCTCCTACTAATTAACAATTTGTTGCTAGTTTTTAATTTAATTTTTATTACTAGAAAATGTTAATGTAACCACTGATTGAAAAATCAAGTGTATAGTTGTGATTAATAACTCTCACGCATTAATAATGTTATG